TCTCTCTCTGTCTGTCTGTCTGTGTGTTTATTTGTGTTTTTGTGGGGTATTGCATCTCTGACGCCTTGTTAGGGGAGCAGAAAAGGGCACTGCCAAGCTAAGCGTCACCGATTTCGATGGAGTCAACGAAGGAGAAAGTGCCGCCGCCAGTGTGTGAGGCGCAGTCAAGGGGGCACCACGTGTGCGAGTGCTACGGCCACACCCAGGAGCTACCGGACTACAGGAAGATCACCGTCCCGCGCACACTGCAGGGGTTCCACGCGAAGGAGGGCGGCGGCTGCCCGTGCATCCCCAAGACGCCCGTGAAGCCTTCGAATGCTCTGTACTGCAGCACTAACCCCGCCACCTGTGGCAGGGTCAAGCCGGCGGAGACGTACCGTGCGTACGAGCCGGGGCGGCACAAGGTACACCAGGCAGACGAGANCCCCGCCACCTGTGGCAGGGTCAAGCCGGCGGAGACGTACCGTGCGTACGAGCCGGGGCGGCACAAGGTACACCAGGCAGACGAGACCGCTGGCGCCACAGCAGCGGTGCGTGACCCGGTAACAGGGGATCGCTTGGCGTTTCCCAACTCACGCAACTACGGCGGCACAGCGACACAGCGCGGGTTTCCGACAATTGGGGGGCCAAAGCGCAAGACACACGAGGAGAGGAAGTACGAGCAAATGCAAGACCGCAAGGAGTTCCTCAAAGCCGTGCTGCGTGATGAGATGCGCGACCGCATGGACGCTGAGGAGCAGCTTCACAGCATAGAGCACGAGCTCGGGCTTCGCGGAAGTCGCCACGCCCAGATGTTGGCTGCCGCTGCCAGCAGAGAAACGCCAAGGGTTGGCAGCGATTACGACTCGAAGACAGTGGTGGAGCAGTACGACGAGGTGATGGAGGAGTTGCGGTACGTTACGCAGCAGCCTGTAGGGTCAAAACTGAACATAATTCGCATGCACTATCTCCTCGAGGAGCAGGACCGGCTTCAGCACCTACACGAACAGGAGAAGAAGCAGGCTGCTGGTCTCACCACAACCACGAAGTGTTCGACGTAAATGAAAAGAAGGAACGAGGGGGAGAGGAATAGGTATTGTTGGTGATATCGACATTACCACCCCACTTACTTTCGCTGCAACCGCAGCACAGGCATACTCCTGTGCCTTGTGTTGCTCCCTCTTTCCTTTTTTTTTTTGTTTTAGTGAAGAGGGGGATCAGCCTCACGCCGCAGCCGCGCATCGCGTTGAATGTGTCCCATGTACTAGTGCACACCGCCCCCGCAGCCTCCTGCGCGAGGGGCCCGGATGTAAAGGAACAGATGCAGCGGCACAATATACCGCAATACCCACACTGTGAACATGAGGTGTGTGTTTCGCATCCAGTGTGATCTTTTTTACACTTTATTCTTTCTCTTTTTTTTTTCCTGTCTCTGCGTCTTGTGCCTTTTGTGAATTGTGGTATCTCATCTTTCGTTCTTGGTTCCTCTTTCGCACCCACAAATGCACATGTCAAGAGAGAGTGAGTTGGGATATTTGACTCTAATATCTGCTAGGGGGGGACATATAGCGGTGTAGTACCTTGAGAGAGGGCAAGCGATGGCCAACACTGTTGCCAAGACCACTGCTAAGGTTGATACCACTACAGCAGGGCCACTACAGGGGTCGTACAGCGCGGCAGCACGCCACCACAAAAAGTACCACCAGTGCGATTGCTATGGTCACCCGATGGGTCTTCCCAACTACAAGGTACTCGCGCAGCCGCGCACCAACAACTACTACTCTGCGACGGGCGGTTGTCCCTGCATCCCCCGCGCAGCCGCGCACCCCGGCAGTTGGCGCCTCAAGGAAGCACAACTGCGATCGTCAAAGCACTCACATGGCGTGGGCTGCATGAAAACGCGCCCAGGAGCGACGTGTTGCGTGCACGCCGGCGAGACGTACGGCTGGAGGCCCGGCCCACACACTGTCCTCGCGAAGAACACTGCCGCCTCGGGACTCTGCGATACATTTGGCAATATGGCATTTAAGAGACCTACTGGCCTGCGAGACAAGGAAAGTGATGTGAGCAGTGTGTGCCAGCAGAAGCTAGAGGATTTGGAGGCCCTTATCCTCGAGGAGCACGAGGCGCGTCGCAATGTGGAGATGGACGTGGATGAACTTAAGAATATTCAGCTGCAGGGCACTCAAGACGCATACAAACAGGACTACGGGAATGAAAAGAAGCGCCAACTGGCGGCGGCGGCTTCGGAGGCGCAACTCAACGATCTTTTGCGTGAGGTCCGCGCCATAGTGAAGCGGCCTCTTAATCAGACAAATATGGACATCCTACGCAGCGTGGTGGATCGCCAGGAGCGATTGATGCATCTGCGGAAGCTGAAGGCAAATGAAGATTTCCCAAAAATTATAGACCCGTGAAAGAGTCTATGAATTCGCCACAGTCAATGTATGGACACACGGTGGCGGAGCTCTCCTAGCCAGAGGCTGCTACTTGGATGTGTTCTCGATTGTTATGTACATGTTGCGGATAGCGTATGTAGGGGAGAAAACCTCTTGGCAGCTTGTGCTGCCCTTTTTTTCTGTGTTGTTTGTTTGTTTGATGTTTTCCTCTTACCTGATTTTCCTTTGGTGTGTTGTGTGAAATCTCTCAGTACTGGAGCATTGAATTTGTTTTGATCTTTTTTTTTTGGTTTCTTTTGTTGCTTCCTTCTTCGAATTCTATGTAATCCCCTTTCCACACACTCCAGGCGGATGAGAGTAGCACGATGATCAGGAGCTACTTTGACCTCTCCGACATTCTGGCCAATGAGGAGACTGTCCCTGTCGTGTTTCTCGTGCCATCATTCAGTCTGGGAAAGGACATCCATGCACGCACTTCCGAGGGTGAGACAGTTGAAGAAGTGGGGCCAGGAAGTATCGCCACAATTCCCCTGTGGGTTGCTGTGGCGCTGCGTCAAGACGGCTATCTCGTCCCGCAGGTGCCACCTCGCTACACAACTTCTGTGTTTCGTGAGTTCAAGACAGATCCCCTTGCGGCCAGTCTTTACGCAAAGTCGCCATATTACTACGAGGCGGGACTTCTGCTATGTGCGATGCTTCCAACCAACGAGGGCAACCGTCTCGCGGCGCAGCTTTTCCGTCTGTACCAGCTGCGGTATCTCAAAGTTATTCATGCAGCGGCGAAGAGAGGCTTTGATTTGAGTGATGTGCGCGAGAAGTTGTGCGAGAGTGAACGGAATCTCTTGGACACGCTGCTCCGTGGTATGGAGGATGAACGTCAATGGCATCAGAGTGTGTTTTGAAAGGGAAGGCAAAATCGTGAAAAACAATTTGGCAATCATATTTTCTTTTTATCGTTGGAGGAGGGAGAAAAAGGGAGTGACACCTAATCTCCCTTGTTGTGAATGTCTGGCAGTTTATCTCTACATTACGAAATAGGTTTTCTTGTCTTATGATTTTATTTTTTTTCGCTTCTTTCTTGCGCGTCTGTTTCTTTCTCGGATTCTCTGTCAGTCTGTGTGTGTGTGCGTGTCACTTAGTTTGCGTGGGNTTTTTTTCGCTTCTTTCTTGCGCGTCTGTTTCTTTCTCGGATTCTCTGTCAGTCTGTGTGTGTGTGCGTGTCACTTAGTTTGCGTGGGCCTAGCATGGGCGGTGACGAAAACGCATCCAAAGGGGAGAGTCATGTGGTGACGGAGGCGGCCCTGGAAAAGACCATGAACAGCGCAACAGTGCTGCGGTACCCCTTCCAGCCAATTGATCTTGCTTGGCTGGTCGACTACATTGACACATGCTTGCCAAGGGCAGAGCGCTGGCCAGCGGCGATGCACATCGTTAACGCCTTTATGGCGTTCGCCGTGATGCATGAGGATCCTTACTTGGAGGATGCCACCTTTCAGTTTCACAAGACAATGGAGGAAAAAAATGACAAGCGAAGTTGGCCCAAGCGTGCCCGGGACACAAGTGTTGACTTTGAGGTGGCCCACCACGTCTTTGAGACCATTTGTGTTATGGCCAAGTATCCCAACCTTGATCCAACAGGAAAGGTTGGACTGCTCAGGATGGGTGAGAAGCTTCTAAAGGATATTGAAAAGGCAGTGACGAGCCCTTCAGTCAACATGGGTACAAAAAAAACGAGCGAAGCTTTGAGCGTTACACTCACTCGCATACAAGCGCTGAAGCGTACACCTGACTCCCCTGAGGCGTTTGATTCCTTGATGGGCTCTCTTAAGACGCTGTTTTTCTGCTTCAGTCCGTGCCTTGGTGTTTGCAGCATGCTGTATGACTCTAACACCAGTATCATGAATTCCTACGTGTGCTGTGAGGGATGTCCATGCTACGCAAAGCTACGCACAACTTATACGCTTTTTATAAGGGATGTGGAGAAGACGAAGGTCATTGATTGCCTTCTGATGATGGCTGTAAGGGAGGATGATGCTTTTGTAAGCAAATTAGCGGAGGATTTATTCGCTCGATTTGATTGCCGAAGTCTGTTTTTGGAGAAGCCAATTCGGCGGATACAAAATGGAATCTTATTCACTGTGAGAATAGCGTTGTTTGATGCATTTCGGCATGTGAAGAGTTTAATGATGGAGCTGCGCGCGTCCCCTGTGACGCTTGAACCGTTGATGGAGAATATCATTCTTGCGTTGCACATAACTCGTCGGGAGATTAAGGATATTAAAGGTCCAAACGAGCACCTCCCGCTTATAGACTTGGCGTTGGCAACGGCAGACAGTATCTGTTCGCGTTTGGGGACTGAGAAGTCGTCACAGGAGCTGCGTAAACTAAAGGACTACATCATGGCCATTTTTACTTTGGTGAGCGCCCCCGAGTACCATTTAGCTGTGCATAGCAAGGACCCGCTGGTCGGCAGAGGTGCGAACTTGAAGTGTGGGAACCCCGACTGCCCAGGGAAAGTGAAGGAAATGCTGAAATGCAGCGGGTGCCGTGTGACGTTTTATTGCGGCGCAGAATGCCAACGGGAAGACTGGAAAACCCACCGTTTCCTTTGTAGGGAAATGGGCTGTCGCAAAACAGCCCCCCAGCCGGTCAAGGCAGAGGAATGCCCCATACAGACCCTGAAACCCTTTGCTTTTGATTGAGGCGCTGCGCTGAAGTCAAAGATGAACAAAAATGAACGAAGGCAAAAAAAAAAAGAGGAGAAAGCACGAAGACACCTGTTTATAGTCACCCCCGGATTTGCACCAACAAAAAACTGAAAACTGTGTTGGAAAGGGGAAATATATATATATATATATTTGTCTGCAGGGTGGAAGAAAGAGGGTGTATTTGGCCGAGGCAACTTCAGTTGTTTCGCCTCCTTCGGGGGGAGGGGAGGGAGGGAAAGGAGAGAAACTAAGCCAAGCCGAACGAAAAACAACAACAAAAATACATCGGTGCTTTCTCTGTATCATAAGAAAAAAAAAATCAAGCCCAAATAGATGACTATGAAGTTGTGTAAGGTGACAAAGAACAAATATGTTTTGTGTTGCTGTCGTTGTGACTCTTTGGTTTTTCGCTTCTCTTGACTTTTGAAGTGTAGATGATGCGCATCACGTGTGTGTGCCACGTGCGATGGTCGTCTAGTGGTTAGGACATTCGCCTCACACGCGAGAGATCGCGGGTTCGATCCCCGCCCGTCGTATTTTTTCCCTCCCTTTCCCCTTCGGGTCAAGGTCCTTTATTTCAAAGTCCTGGGTGCCATTCCCTCTGAATTTGTCTTCGACAGTTTCCGTTGGATCCGGAGAGGGGAAAGACAAACAAGAGAACTGAAAGAAAACATTCGTGCACACAGGGGCCCGCCCTCAGTCCAATCATGGGCGCTGCGCCCCGGAAACGGTTTAATTGAATTAAACAAGTGCGTAACATTCAAACCTTCATTCTCACGCGCGCCCCCTAAGAATAGGCAGCTTCCGGGCCCCTGGCCCGCAGCGGGTGAGTGGGATGGGGGTTTTAATTTTAATCACCGCCCGAAAAGGTCCACAATTGCGATCCCATCCAAGAATCCAGCCATGAGAGCCAAGGGCAAATTGAAGCGAGCGGGGAAATGGCGAATAGCCCCTCATCGCGAGACATTCTGCCAAGAGGCTTCTACTAACAATAATAAAAAATTAAAGGCCGGCCGGGGCAGGGAGAAGCAGTCTCTCCGCAGCGGCCTTTTTTTTCTCCTTGCTTTTTTTGTGGGGCTGGCGTTCTTTGTTGCGAAAGCGGGCGCCCACAGAAAGCCACGGTTTGAAAGGGTGGGGTGTTCCCCCCCACCACCTCGAAAAGGCGGCGCCCCTCACCATGAAACAAAAGCCATGTCTTTGCAAAGGCCGGGTTTCCTCCCATTGGGAATGTGTTGTTTCGGCTGTTCGCCCTGTTTTGGTGTCCGCGCGTGCGCCTCCGAACGCTTGGCGGATGGCATCTCAAAAGGCCCCGCCTGCGTCTTTTCCCCTGCGCGGGAACCCGTTTTTCCGAACCCCAGCGTGCTTTTTCTGCCGTTTTTTTTTATTCAGCGCCTCTGGGCTCCCGTGGCTTGGGGCGCCCTCGCGGGGCACAGGCGGGGGTTAGCCGTTGGTTCGTTCCGTTCCCTTTTGCCTCTGGAAAAAATCGGCGCGCCACAATGCCACGCATGGTTCGCCTTTGCGCCAGCGCTCGTTTCAGCATGCCGGCCCCATGAGGCGAAAGAAAGGGAGCTGCAATATTATATTTTTTTTTCTTAGGATTGCTTCCTTCCATTTTCCCCCGTAGTTTCCACACCCCCGCCTGCTGCAGGGACCGGGCGTTTCGAAACGCAGGGGCCAAGGGGAGAATGGTCTTTCCCCCGGCCCGCTTCATGAAGAGAAAGAGTGGGGCGGGGGAGGGTGAAAAAGAAAAACTACAATTGTCTGCGCTTCGCCTTTTTGCTGGGGAAAGAAAAGGGGGGGGGGGTAAAATTTGTCTTTTTCCTTTGTTTCGTTTTTCATCGCAAAAGGAAAAAGCCCCCCACCAAGAGAAAAGTAATCGAAGATTTTACTTGGCAGTTCATTCAAAACTTTCGAAAAGAAGGACCTGAAAGCGCCCCCAGCCCATACCCCACGCGGGGGCGGAGGGAGTTTTGTTTTTTGGACGTTTTCAGAACTCATGTTTCGCGACGCCCTGTTCGCTTGGAAGATATGAAATGAACAAAAGGAACGCGACCATTATAAATAATAGGCAAAGCTTGGCCGTTCTTTTTCCAGGCGCCCCGCCAAAAAAAAATACAAATAAAAGAAAGAGCACGCGGCAGCCTGTTTTTATAGCCCGGTGCGGGGCATGCTTAGCAGGAGCGGGAAGGGAGAAGCCCGTGCCAAAGAAAGGGGCGGGATGCCCAAAGGGACGCTTCTTTCGGCGGAAGGGGTGCAATTCCCAGCCCTCAGGGTGAAACAGGCCAAAGTAAGTCTTGCTGTTTTTTTTTGTATGGGGGCGCATTGCGATTCTTCCTTAATGCTGTCACGCGGCTTTTTCGGCGAAAGAGCCAACATAGGATTCGCATAACCTCGGCTTCCGTATGGAACAAAGGGGCCTGCTTTTAGAAGCGTTCCATAATTGATGCGGCCCGGGGGCCGCGAGAGGCACAAAGGGGAAAACAAACCCCTGGTGAAGTTTCTCTCTGTTTTTCGAGTCTGTCACCGGGGTGCTTTTGAGCACCCCAACCGTTTTTGAGCATTGTTTCAAGCCGAACCGCGGGTTTATAGCGCACGCAGTTATGTCACAGAAGGGGTGGCAAGCCCATGCCCATAGCCCAATTGGTGTTTTTTCTTCGTTGAATGGTAGCGGTCTTCAAAACCGTAAAATATAAGGTTTTTAACAACCCTCGGGGTGGTTTTAAAAAACCCCACCAGCGCCCATCTACTGACGTTGTGGGGCGGCCGAATTGCATCCGTTTTTTTTTTTT